TATTTATTTATTTATTTTATTTTTTCAGTTTTAGATTTTTAAGTAACGTAGTAAAAAATTGTTTTCACGTCTGCATTTTGAGATGAGCTCGAATTTTTTATTTAATCATTTATTTTGGTCTGGGAAGATAATAATAGCTATTTTTCCTCCAAGGAAAGTTTGCAAATTTTTGATTGGTTGTTGTAGGCTAATTATCTTTTCTTTATTTTCCAAGATATTTTTTAGTGTGATGTGCGTTTTGTTTTTAATTTCACAGATATACTTAGAACGCATTATGCTGTTCGCATATTTACTATTTGTGAAAGATGTTTTGTTTGTATAATTTCTTTGTTTTCAGGGTCCTTCAGTTACTTCTATGTATAATTTTATTCATTATCTGGTGATTTTACCGTGGCTTGGTATATTACGTTGTTTTTCTAAACAATTACCATTTAAGGGGCCGCAACAAATTGCATGCATGATTTTTTTCAGAATCATTATTAATACATTCTGCTTTAGTAAGTAGTTATCTCGCTGCTTCACAAACGTCAGAACAGTGGTCACACAATTAGGGGCTCAGAAAATTCATTGTGAATACAGAGGCTGCTGTATCAATTATGCCAAAGGATTACCTGACAAACACAGTCCTATATTCTACGAATATCTTGCTGGTTTCTGCTAACAATGTAAAAATAGAGCTGAATTGGATCACCTAAATTATGCATCGAGATAGATTGGACTCTCAAAACTGTAAATTTAATTTTAAATTTAAGTGATAAATTGTATCTGTCCGCGTGTCCGAAATCACTCTAACTCGGGCCGCACGTATTCTACATAGACATATTATATACCTTTTTGGAATCAAGATGATCCCGGGATTGAAAATATGTCCTTCATCTGGTGCTTGAACATTAGGCATTTTGATTTGTGTTAGGATGAAGAGGGAGCGGTTAAAAATTCAAATTTTAAAATAACTGAAAAAAAATTAATGATTTTCACAGTTTTTAATTTGTACTGAATTTAAAGTAACACAAAAACTTTTAAAAAAATTGTTTTAAATTCAATTTCAAATATTTTCAAAACTTTGTGAACAAAAGAAAATCATTTTATTTCTTAAAAATGTCAAAGGAATCATAATTAAAATGAGAGATTTTGTGAAGTGAGGTTTTGAAATTCAGCAGATTTTGTGATTCGAAGAATTTAATTTTCGACTTGAATTGGAATTTCGGCCCCAATCACACCGAATTGGACTGAAATGTTGGGTGGTGGTATGTGGGTGGGGATGTATGTGTGTGTCTTTTGGTAAAATTATCCCCCACAAAAAAAAAGAAATCAGATTGAATTTGGATGTTTAGAATATTTTACTCTAAATAGTTATGATTATTTTCAAAACTTGCAAAACGGTCATTTTTTTCTTTTTTTAAAAATAATTAGTGTTCATTGAAAAAAAAGTCAATCTGTTCGTTTTCCTTTCCATTAAGCAGTTATTATCGGATTATCGATTTGTTTTACGCGCTAGTTGAACGCAATTCTAATGAGCATCTCGACATTAATTATACGTCAATAAACAATGAAACTAAATTGTAAAATTAACAATAATTACGAGAATTAAATAAACATTTCCCAAAATTTTCTTCAAAATCTTTCAGAATCTGTTTCCATAGAGTTAAATTCTTCAAAATGTCGATTTTGAAAGGAGACATAAAGACGTTTTTGTTAAAATAAAATTTTACCATAAAATAAATGATGCCTAATTTTTATTAATTATGACGTCTTTATTATGTTGGAATTAAATGTTAATTCACTTTAATCTTCTGTAATAGTTAATCTTAATTCATAAAAATTTTACTGATGCTAGACTAATAATTATGATTATCATATCTGATGACAATCCATTTATCCAGACACCCAGTAGGAAAATGGGTGTGAATACATTATCTATCTATCTATCTATCTATCTATCTATCTATCTATCTATCTATATATATATATATATATATATATATATATATATATATGTCTTGCGAAAGTCACACATGAAATAAAAATAATTGTTTGTACGGAAAGTAAGGACCTACGTACATAAAATTGTCTTTAAATTAAGTGGCGGCAGAAGAATTATCGCTGAATTTTTAAAAGGTAAACTTAAATATTAATGCAATGCTTAAATGCAGTAATCCATTTTGAGTACTTCTGTAGTTTATTGTTACTTATCACATCTACTCTTTCTACCTACTGTGATGAAGGCCCAATCAAGAGCCCTCTGTAGCTTAAATGCCGCCAGATAGGGAGGCTTTTAAGCTCGTATATTGCTGTGACCAAGTAAATGGTTAAAGAAATAGCAAAACAAGTGTTACAGATATATCATATATTAAACAGTAAGTACAACACGACTAGTGAGTGTGTGTCGGTTGACCCAGTGTTCAATCTATTCGACTGTTAATATTTAACATCCCCCCGCACTTGTCTACCTCTCTGGATTAAACTTTGCCCTTCGGCAAAGCCTCGTCCGAGTTCCTCTCTGCCCAAAGACAGAAAGTTAGACAGCAACTGGGAAAATTCACAGCCTCGATTGAACAATCTATGCGACTGTTAATATTTAACAGCCCCACCACGAGGGTGTACGTGGCACAAGGCCGGTTTATTGTGGGTACCCCGAGCGCATAGACTCGGCCAAAAATATTCCCTTTGAACCCGCCTAAACGGGTTTAGAGACTCTCTACCTCCCCGTACGAAACTTTGTCCTGCGGCAAAGCTTCGTCCGAGTTCCTCTCTGCCGAGGCAGAGAGTTCGACAGTTGAACAATCTATGCAAATGTTCCCCCAAGGCCTTCTCCCCTACTAATCTTATAGTAGGCGGAAGAGTCCAACATAGACTCTTTAGAGGGAGGACACTACAACATATATATATATATATATATATATATATATATATATATATATATATATATATATGCGCGTCTGTGTCTGTATGTGCATGTGTTTTAGGTTACTCTAAGAGCACTATTGGCAACATGCAACCGGTACTACTCGCGATTGTCTGGTCATCGACGACTAAACCGAATCCCTCACCAGGCTTTTCTGTTTAGAAGCGCAACTAAACACACCCAGTATGATTCAAAATGAGAACTCTCAAAGGGCAGATTAACCTTCTTGTGCGGTCAACAGCCATCTAGCGCAATGGAGTATAGACGTGGCTCCATATCTACTTATTATCGGCCGGAGGGCTTCCAAAACTAAAATCATCTGTCAGGGTGTTTACTCAGTGAAATCAACGGCCATGTGTCCGTGACATTCAAGTTGGAGGACACCTGTGATCTGACCTGGAGAGGGATGGGCTTCGTTAGGTGTACTTGTCCAAGACATGCTACGCATGAATGAATACCTGTTTGGCATTCAACCCTGATATGCGGAGGAAACTGGTCAGGTGGTCAGTTGTGCAGCCACCCTACGACCACAGCCAGTCATTTTACTGATGATGATAATGGCGATGATGATGAAATTAAAATTTTAATTTAATTTAATTAATTTTGATCTAATTAATCTAATTATGAAAGGTTTTACCTCAGATAGAATTGTTCTACTGTTCATGGTAATCTTCTTTTTTTTGCGTATGTACTTAAGGTTTTTATTGTAGCTTTAATTGTTCAATGTTTTTAGTGAAAGCTTTGATATTTGGATTATAAATTTACGTGGGATGTCCGAAAAAATATACAAATGTTTACATATAGAATATTTTTGTTGTTAAACGAGTAAATTCTAGTGTATGTGTTATTAGCCCTTCATTGCTAGTTTCCCACGCAATCACCATCAAGATTGGTGCTCTTGAAGCATGTGACGTCAAATTGCTTGAGTTACTTTTGCACCTCTGCAACAAAAGCGTCACAAGAGTGGAACGTTTTGTCGGATAAATGTTACTTGAGGAGGCTAAACAATGATAATCTGGATGCAGTGGATTCTATAAAAAAACCCGAAACTTATCTTTGAAACCATTCCAACCAGTCAGGTTGGCTATACGTAGGATGGTCTTGTGAAGGTCAGTGATACCTTACATAGACTTATCGTGAACTATTTCATAAAGACGGCAATAAAGCCACTGAGATGTAAGGTGCTTATTGAGTGTGAAAGAATATGAGAATAAGAAAACATTATTAAGGAGGGCGAGAACAATAAAAGAACAAGAATTAAGGCGACAGAAGATAACGATTGACATTGTATTTAAATGTTTCAAGAAAGAAAAGCAAAGAAGCCGGAAGAGAGTTCCACAAGCGAGAAATGCGAGAGAAGAAACTGTTAGCATAGAACCTACTGTTACATCGAGCCAATTGATGAGTCCTTTCCGCTAATCTAGCACTATGCTTAAATTCATAAAGTCTAGCTACCAAAGAGAAAAGCGCTCTCTCTCTCTCTCTCTCTCTCTCTCTATATCTATATATATATATATATAATTGAGATGCCATGTCAGGACCAATAACATTGCAGATGCTTATTTGTATTCTATCTAGAATTTCTAAATACATAACAGGAGCAGCAGACCAGATGTGACAACAATATGTGTTGTACGGACGAATGGTAAACTTATAAATATGTAAGATAGATTCTGGAGAGAAAAATTGTTTAGCTCGGCACAGGGAATCAACTTTTCCAGCAGTAGACTTTATTTCCAAAGATCATTTTACACATCTTTATAACGAATCATGAACTGTCTATAATCTCAAATGAATATTCAACACGTGCAATATCATCAACTGTTGTTAATGAACGTGCGTGTCCTACAAGAGTATCTACATACATTGGCTTCAAACCAAATGTCTGATCAACTGAAATCACAAAGGTATTTTTAATCTTCAGTCCGGTCACATATGCAGATATTACTCAGATCTTGCCCAGATGTCAATCAGATGTTACCCAGATATTATCCAGATGTTACCCAAATATTACCCAGTTATTATCCAGATGTTACCCAGATATTGCCCAGATCTTACCCAGATATTATCCAGATGTTACCCAGATATTACCCAGATGTTATCCAGGTATTACCCAAACACTATCCAGTTATTATCCAGATGTTACCCAGATATTATCCAGATACATTAAAAAGCATACTAAACTCGAGGTAATACTGTCTTGTAAGGTTACGTAATAGTGGCTCGCAATGAGAATTCAGAGTCGAGTTCTAATTCTACTCTGGAACTGGTTATTACGTATACACAACGGGGAAGATCACCTGACTTAAAACTAAAAGAGTTCCCTTGGCCTGCTATGTAACCTTCAAATTCTAGGCGTTGGCGATGGCTTAGGGAAGAAAATGACAAGGCGTTGATCTAAGGTATCGAGAAGGTGAGAATTGATATGTTGCGATCTGTTTCAATGAAACAGACAGCACTCAACTAGCCAAAGGCTGACTGACTGCAGTTACAACAATATTTCTTCAAAGAAAAAAAAAATAGAGAAATGTTAAACGGAAATCGGAAACTACAAGCATTAAAATCGGTTTTGGCAAATCGGATTTCCGTTTTACTAGTGATCATCATATGAAACCCGGTTTTATAAAATCGGTTTCGAGCCCTAAGATATACCAAGTGACAAATACGATTTTATCCTTCAGTCTAGTCACTTATGCAGAGATGGCTCAGATGAACATACTAAACTCGAAGTAATGCATACATCTACTGAGAAATGTTTATTTTACTAATCCAATATTTATTACGAAACCAATAAAAAATTGTCATGTCATAAGATCGACTTTGCTACATTAAAACTTAACCACCCTCCAGACAGATTGATGCCAATGCCCCATCAGTGGCCCTAACCTCCAGACAGATTGATGCCAATGCCCCATCAGTGCCCCTACCCTCCAGACAGATTGATGCCAATGCCCCATCAGTGCCCCTACCCTCCAGTCAGATTGATGCCAATGCCCCATCAGTGCCCCTACCCTCCAGACAGATTGATGCCAATGCCCCATCAGTGCCCCTACCCTCCAGTCAGATTGATGCCAATGCCCCATCAGTGCCCCTACCCTCCAGTCAGATTGATGCCAATGCCCATCAGTGCCCCCAGCCTCCAGACAGATTGATGCCGTTGTCCAATCAATACCACTACCCTCCAGCCAGATTGATGACGTTGTCCAATCAGAGCTCCCACCCTCCACCCAGATTGATGCCGTTGTCCAATCAGAGCCCCCACCCTCCAGCCACATTGATGCCGTTGTCCAATCAGAGCCTCCACCCTCCAGTCAGATTGATGCCGTTGTCCAATCAGAGCCCCCGCCCTCCAGTCAGATTGATGCCTTTGTCCAGAGCCACCGCCCTCCACCCAGATTGATGCCGTTGTCCCATCAGTGCGCCAACCCTCCAGTCAGATTGATGCCGTTGTCCAATCAATGCCACTACCCTCCAGCCAGATTGATGCCAATGCCCCATCAGTGCCCCTACCCTCCACTCAGATTGATGCCAATGCCCCATCAGTGCCCCCACCCTCCAGACAGATTGATGCCGTTGTCCAATCAATGCCACTACCCTCCAGCCAGATTGATGCCGTTGTCCAATCAGAGCACCACCCTCCACCCAGATTGATGCCGTTGTCCAATCAGAGCCCCCACCCTCCAGCCAGATTGATGCCGTTGTCACATCAGTGCCCCTACCCTCCACCCAGATTGATGCCAATGCCCCATCAGTGCCCCTACCCTCCAGACAGATTGATGCCGTTGTCCAATCAATGCCACTTCCCTCCAGCCAGATTGATGCCGTTGTCCAATCAGAGGCCCCACCCTCCAGCCAGATTGATACCGTTGTCCCATCAGAGCCCCCACCCTCCAACCAGATTGATGCCGTTGTCCCATCAGAGCCCCCACCCTCCAGCCAGATTGATGCCGTTGTCCAATCAGAGCCCCCACCCTCCAGCCAGATTGATGCCGTTGTCCCATCAGTGCGCCAACCCATAAATGTTGAAGAACAAGCACATTACACGACATAAAGAAATATTTTAGCTATGACAGAAAATATAATAGTATTTATATGCAGTTATAAGGAAGCTCGCATTACTGCTTATGATAAAGCAGGAAATCCTTCCGATTAAAATATGATATTCATTTTTGGATGCTTCGTATGGCGGACATCTTTCCCTGCGGACATTTATCTTGATGCTTTATTCATTTCCATTCATTTATGTTCTTTTCTTCAATAGTTTCCAGCTGGTTAATGACACGAGTGCTTTGAGGCATATTTCAGTATGGTAAATCAACTGCTACCGACGAAAGATCCGATATTTTGTTACGATAATTATTTGTACAGCACTAGTAAGATTAATGATAATAATAATTATAGCAGCATTCAACGACTTAAACAAGGGGATCGTCCAGAAGTAATTTAGGAGATTCCGAAGGCCGTGGTTGAAGCAAATGGCGATTTTATTGAATTAATTTACTCTCTAGTATTTCATAATATTTGTGTGTAATTTTGGTAAATATATCTGTTGAAATGAGATGTCAGGGTTATTTTCATTTTTGTATAATTTAGACGAAAATTTATCCATTTTACGTTATATATATATATATATATATATATATATATATATATATATATATATATATATGTATATATTGGTACTCATCAGCAGTGCGTATTCGCTACCGAGATTCGAATAAATACATAACGACAACAGGAAAAAATTATTCTTTACCGACGCGTTTCGTCCTCTGATTGACTTCATCAAGGCAAATGCAAGGATTTTATTTTGCATCAAGTAATTATAGAGAGAGGTATAAGTATCGTTAAGTTTTCAAACTAATTTGAAAGTCAAGGTAAACTATGGAGGCTGCTAAGTGATGTAATTTAATGACTAATAAACAAAAGGGACTAACTGTTGTTGTTCTTCTTCTTATTTACTAATATATATTTTTCTTCTGTTTAGAAAAAAATACAATTCTTACATTTGTCAGAGGGCGAAACGCGTCGGTAAGGAATCGTTTTTTTTTTCTTTTATCTTCATTCATTTCATCTTTTTATCTTTTCTAGCATATATATATATATATACACACACACACAGTCTGGAGATAGTGATCATAAACAGACCTAACCCGTATACATACACACTCTATCCAACCATCCAATCAGCATAAATAAGTACACTAAAGGCCATAACCATTAAGTAAACCTCAGTGTCAGTTTTAAACAGAAGCTGGAAATAACCGGTTTCTCGATCACAGTTTCACTTAAATGATACCGGACTCCCCAACACAAACTAATTTATATACAGACTGCTAAGATTGTTTTGAAGCTCAAAACCGGCAATCACTATATATTGTTGATTCCTATGTCCACACTATATATCTAAATCCGGATCAAAATAAGAATTATTCAGTCTACAAGATTACTAAAGACAGTAAGAATATTTTAAAAAACTGCCGAAACCGTAAAAATAATTAGAGAAGGGCTTATTTTTTATATAATCCAGCTGTTTCCATTATGATTCTGAGTAAAATAATGTCGTCTATATACTGAGTTGATATCTCTGTATTTTACTTCTACATGTCGTAGTAAGGGAAAGCAAGAAGACAAGATGGATATTGATCACAAAAGGAACAGCCCAACTTGTAAATTACACATTGGGATAGAGAAAGGTGCCTTCCAAAAGCTAAGCAAAGTATTCAAAAACAGAAAAAAATCGTTCGAAACGAAGAAAAGAGTACTGAAATTTTACATAATAGAAATCCTCCTACATGGCAGTGAGTGCTGGATAATCTCCTTACAGATGAAAATACACTTGAAGCAACAGAAATATTGCTCTACAGAAAGACCGAACATGTGAGCAACAGCGAAGTTTTTAAAGAAAAGGAAAAGAAAAGGACATACTTAACATTTCGAAGAGGCAGTTAAAATTTCTAGGATACATAACAAGGAAAAAGGGCTTGGAAAATTTGATACGTACATGACAGATTGAAGACAAGAATGATAAAAGAAGACAACGCATAAACTATCTAGCGAGCTTGAGTAAATGGATGACGAAACAAAAATGCAAAATTTATTAAGAGTCATAAAAGAAGGGAAGTGCGGAGAGCCATGATCGCCAACGTCCTGAAAGGAGCATGGCACATAGATGAAGAGAAGACTAAGTTTAGTTCGGCATAAATCGAGGGAAATAAAAAATCTTACCCTGTGCAAATAGTGCGTGATTGTGTTGAGAAAACCAGTACTCCAAATACGCGGTCGAAACGTCGAATTCTGGTACCGATGTAAAATCAGCAATTAACTCGGACACTTTGAAATTTATCATATATGCCATAAAATATGGCGTGTAAAGGCTAATTGGGCATTCGATTGGCGTAAAAAAAAAAAAATACAGAAGTCAATCTACATGCGTGACACGCGGCAAATAGATGACTGATCTCGTTTGTTCAAAGGGTAACGCGTAATCCGAAACAATTTTCACTGCAGCGTTGTTTGACACGTTCTCTGACAAATGGTTGAAATGTGTTATTATTATCAAGATACTATTTGACTTGTTAGTCGGCGACAGCGTGAATGATTTTAACATCTAATTAGTTGTCAAAGATCGCAGAGTCTAGAAATGATCAGGTGAGATGACAGAATGTCAAAAGAGTGAGTATTTTAGTGGGCATCGGTTTTGGATTATACGAACGCTAATGTGACAATGTCTGAGGAAAACAAATAAAAACAATAGAAATACCAAGCGTAAGGATTTTCACCCAATGTTTGACATACATTTCTTTATTATGACATTGTCTTTCTTTGTTTTGGCTGACTTTTTGCTTTGCTTTAGTTTTCTTCTTTTCTTTGCGCTGCCTGACTTTTACTTTCTTTTTTTTTTTCAGTGTGTTGCTTGACTTTCTCTCTCTCTCTCTCTCTCTCTCTCTTTTCATTGTTTTATCTTTCTTTTTTCTTTCTGCTGCCTGACATTTTTCTTTCTTTCTTTCTTTCTTTCTTTCTTTCTTTCTTTCTTTCTTTCTTACTTGATTATTTCTTTTTTTTTAATTTCTTTTCGTTTCTTTTTTCTTCTTTCCTTCTTTCTCGCTTTCGTTCTTCAAGTTTCTACCCGAACCTTTCTTACACTTCTTTTTATTTCATCAATTTTGTTTGTTTGTTTCTTTCTTTGTCTTGTCTGACTTTTTCTTTCTTTCTTTCTTTCTCTTTCTTTCTTTCTTTCTTTCTTTCTTTCTTTCTTTCTTTGTGTTGTCTTTCTTTTTCTTTTTCGTTATTTCTGTTCGTTGTTTTTCTTTCTTTGTGTTTCTTGTCTATTTCTTTTTCTTTTCTTTTCTGTCTTTCTTCAAGTTTCTTTCTTAACTTTTCGTACACTTCTTTTTATTTCATGAAGCTACTTTGTTTATTTCTTTATATTTTCTATCTTTTTTGTTTTCTTATTGTTTTCTTTCTTTCTTTCTTTCTTTCTTTCTTTCTTTCTTTCTTTCTTTGTGTTGCTTGTTTATTTCTTTTTTCTTTATTTCTTTTCGTTGTTTTTCTTTCTTTCTACAAGTTTCTGTCTTACCTATTCTCACACTTCTTTTCCATCAAATGCCTTTTTGTTTGTTTCTTTGTTTATTTATTTATTTCTGTTTTCTTCCAGATGATTCCACTCCCCACTGCACCCACTTCCTCTCGGGATCACAAACCTTGCCAACCTACAACGCAACTGGTTTTCTATTACTTTTCTTCTTTGAACCATTCAAACAAATTTCTTGTTTTTGAGCAGGACAATAAACAAACCTTGTGCAACAACAATAAAAGATAAACCGCAAATAGTTGCGTAATAAGCAAAAATAAAATTAAAAAAAAAAACAACCCATACGTACAAACATCTTAAGAAGAGACATTTTTAACACCTGGATAACTTCCACCCCTTCTGCCTACAACATCTATGTATTCATTTAATACTTGTTTTCTTTTTGTCTTTATTTTTGAATAGCTGACGTATCTGGCCTTACTCGGGTTACTGAATATCAAAAAAAAAAAAAATAAAATAAAAATAAAAATAAATAAATAAAAAAAAAAAGATTACAAATCACTAGACTTTAACAGTATTCAGAAGATCGAATAATGATTGATGTTATTAAAAATTTTATTTGCCTGAGTATGACGCAAAGCTACAAGTATGGGGCACCCGGATCGAACTCACTATTAGTACACAAAGCATCTCGTTAACCATTACACCATCTCTTAGAATTTTTGCTGACTAAAAATTAAGAATGTAGTCCTTTTCTGAACATATTAATATCTAGTATTAATTAAATATCTAGTATTAATTATGAAAATTAAAATAAAAATCTGGTATTAAATGTTTCTGAAAAAAATCGATATTAATTATAGGCTTCTAAAAATCCGGTATAAATTATAAGTTTGTAAAGATTCTGGTATTAATTATAGGATTCTAAAAAATAGTTTTAAGTATGGATTAAGAAAAAATCAAGTATTAATTATAGGCTTAAAAAAAATGATATTAATTATAGATTTCTCAAAAAAATGGCATAAATTATAGGTTCCTAAAATAATTCGATATTAATTAAAGGTTTTCAAAAAATTCCGGTATTAATTATAGGTTGCTAAAATAAGCCGACATTAATTATAAGTTTTAAAAAATTCCGATATTATTTGTTTCTAAAGAAATCTGATATTAATTATAAGGTTCTAAAAAATCAGTTATTAATGAGAGGGTTATAAAGAATTCGATATCAATTATAGGTTTCAAAAAAAAAATCTGATATTAATTATAGGTTCGTAAAAAAATCCGGTATTCATTATAGGTTTTTACCTATAAGCCATTAACGCTCACTGTTCCAAAAATATAAATCAACAAATATGGAATCTAAAATTAAATTCTTTTTTTAAATTAAAATTTTATTTTTCCAAAATCAATTCGTTTTTGTTAATACTGTACTCTTTCACCTAACGAGTGTGTATTGCCGTCATCTGCATAGCAGCGCTGATAGAATCTCGTCTATCTGGGTTCGTGAAAATAGCTCG